AGAATGTGTTGATTTGAGCTGAAGTAGAGTTAACTTTCTTCACAGCAAGTGATGACATTTTTCTTCCCAAGGAACTGTTATACATGATAGAGACCTGCTCTCCTGGAGATGGCTAAACACCTCCTGTCTGTAGGAAGCAGTGAGTTAATTCCTTGTTTAGCTTTGCTTATGTGTAGAACTTCTGCTTTCTCTATTCAACTGTCTTGTCTCAAACCATGAGGGTTAAGCACCTCCTGACTAGCACACAGTTCTATGAAGTCAGTTGTTAAAACAAAAAAGGGGAATAGGGGCTTTGACCCCTCAGGGACAACTTGCCAAAGATACATATGTTTTGAACCTTTTAAATTGATGATCTGATAACAGTATTCCAATTCTAAAACATTTTGCCTCTATGGCAGGTGACAAGATTGATGCGTCTAGCAAAGCCACCGTTATGGTCAAAATTTAAAATCAGTTAAATGGGAAGAATTGTGTCATTGAGTGACTCCAGTTTAAATCTGTGTTCTACTATTATTATTAATTATACTGTGTTTGTTACAATGTATGCTAGTGTGATATAGTTTAGCTATAATTTTAAAAAAAAACCAGGGAATATGTTAGGGCCTGGCTAGCTGAGGAGCTGTAACTTGAGCAACAGTTCAAGGAATGCTTAAGCAATCAAAACAAGACACAAAGTTGGTCTCGCTGACCTTTTTTCTGTCTTCACGCATTCCTGTGTCTTCAATCCAGCACCTTATGATGGTCTCGTTTTCTCCTGCTGCCAGGGCTTTTAGGTCTAGTTTTGTTACTGTCTTATAGATAAGTCATTTTGCTAACAAGCTAGAACAGTGCTATTAATTAGATTCTCATATATACTATGTAATCCTTGCTATCAGTTTCCCAGGATGTGAGAGCAGGATGCAGCTTAAAATTGTAACCTATCATAAGAAAGAATTGTACACAATGACAAGCAGAGACCCCAATCAAACGTTGCGTGAAGCAGAGCAACCAATCAAAAGTTGCATGAAAGGTGGCTCAATATGAGCCAACAGTGTGCACAGATAGACAAGAAAGCCCACAGCATCTTGGTCTGTCTAAAGAATAGTGTGGCAGCAGGACTAGGGAAGTGATCATCCTCCTGTACTCAGCATTGCTGAGGCCACAGCTCGAGTGTTGTGCTCAGTTTTGGGCCTCTTGCTTTAAAAAGGACATTGAGGTCCTGGAGCAAGTCCAGCCAAGGGCACTCGGCTCATTAAAAGGCCTGGAAAACATGTTATACGAGCAAGGGCAGAGAGAATTTGGTTTGTTTTGCTATTCAGACCAGGCTATTTATGGTAGTATAACTCTTGGCAGAATGTACAAAATATTGTTTGTAAAGAACATTTAACACTTACCCTTCAATGCATGTATTAAGTCTAATGGAATTTCATGTATCGCTGATGCCATTTCCTTCAGCTGTTGACAAGATTCCAGCAAAGATGACAGGGAGTATTTTTTCTCATTAGCTTTTGGTGTTGGCAAGTCAGTAAATTCTTTATCCAAGAGAAAGAGTTCTGGGGATGTCCACGATTCCTCTGGCTCTCCTTTTTCTGGGGCAAGACTTAGGCCTGATCCACAACCTACAGATTCACCTGCACTATGTGTTTGATGCAGCTCCTCTTCACTTTCAGAGGCAGTCTCTTTTAGCTCTTCATGTGTCCTGGACAGTGACTCTAGATCTAGCTCAAATTTTTTCATATCCCCATTATTCTCTGAAGCACCTGTTACACCTGCACTGGTCATTATATCAAAATAAGACCCTGGCTCTACATAATGGCTGAAATCTAGGCTATCAGGTTCTCCTGGAAGTGTCTCACCCAATAGCCCCATGAAGAAAGTTTCAGGACTTACAGAACGTTGCAATGGAGATACACTGCAGTCTAGCATCCTATGCCCTGGAAAACCCTGACAGGAGTCTGAAGGTAGTACATTTGTTCTGCTATTGTTTTCCAAACCACTATCTGGAATATTCATGCTTGCCTCTACATTTTGCAAAGCCTGGCTTAGATTTTCTACAGAACTTTCAATCAAAGCAGTACAATCCAATTCCTGTGCTTCAGTTTTCTCACTCTCTTGCATTCCAGATGTTTTTGAATCTGAAGATTCAACTACATGACTTATCCTGACCTGCTCTTGAGGTCTAAATCCTGTAGAACTTAACTGGGCTTTCTTTTCTAACAAAGGATGATCAGAGTCAGATAGAACAGATGCAAGGACAGAGCACACAAAGCTAGAGTCTGTCAGCTCCTGCGTAATGGGTCCAGCATCTGCAGAAGCTTCTTCTGTCATCACTTCAGTTGAGGTCACCTCTATGTCTGATGAGCCCTCTGTCTGGACTGCTTTTTAGGTCACCTCTATGTCTGATGAGCCCTCCATCTGGACTGCTTTTCTCCATTTGCTTCTCATTTCAGTAACTAAATGAAAAAACCCAAGAAAACATTTTAGTACTTCCACACTCTCAATCAATCTGATTTTCTTCTGCCCCTTCTGTGACTTAAAACAATCCAAGAAGGAAGATGTAGAGCTGCTTCCTGTTGTTTATGCTCACATCTCCTCAACACAAAGGGGATTCTACGCAGGGAAAACAAAAATCTCTTAAATGGAATTCACACTATTCACACCTTATTGGGCCTACTATGTTGTGTTACAGAGTAAGCCATTAGGGTAACTTGCAGCTTCACTGAAATAATTCTCTTTTTCTTCTTGTGCAACATGTACAATGTCAGTGAATTAATCACATTTCTAAACAATGAACATTACAAAACAGAGTTCAGACTTACACAGACTCTCTAGAGTTTTGAGACTTTGTCTCTTTGTTGAAAACTGCTTAACAGCCAGTGTTCCAAGGAGATCAGAGGGTTTTCCTCTTTCTTCAGCATTAACAACTAACGACGTCACTAACTCTGCAACCTGTAGGATGTTAGAGAAGGGGCAAATGATGAGGAAGCAAAATCATAACCTCTTTATTTCTGTCAGTTATGGTTCGAAATAAATCCCATTCTCCAAATCATCTGAAGGATTTGGGATATCCTGACTTTTCTGTCATTTACTGCTTGAGCTCACAATGACCATAATGTTCCAGAAACACAAAATGAAGATATGGGACTGAAATCAGAATTTAATTCTAAGTTCCCTCATCATCTAAGAAGCCATTTTTCATATAAGACAAGTGTGCTCAGATAGAACATATTTAGTACACTTGTCAAGAACTGCTGAAGCGTGAAGACTAGAGCTATATTTACATAAGTAAATCATTCAAGCAGACAAAAAAATAACTGCAACTTCAGTGAAAAATGCAATTTACTTTCCAAATTAATTTATGGCACAATTTATGGCAACTCTTGCTAAGGAATTCCTCAGCCAAATCACAAACAAAGTACCTAAAAGAAGAAATGCTTAAATTCCTGCTTAAAATTCCCAAGTCCCTGTTAAATATTTAACCTGCATAACTTAAGAATTCAACATTCCTTTCTGTTCCTGAATATCTGCAGTGTACTTCACAGACTGAAGTGCAATAGGTGATAAAAATCATGATTCTACTGAATGTGCTATTCACTTCACTGTGATCTGTATGACACCTGCACAAGCTCCATGCTTCCAGGCTGTACTTAACTGGGCATTCCCCTCTAAAAACCTGTGACCCTGATTACTACCTGGCAGAAGTAACTTTTGATATATGTGGATTACAAGAGACATTTTATGATATAGTGATTTTTTTCTCTCAACTTAATGACCATTTATTTAAAAACAAACAAAATTATTTCCTTACCTCTTCTGCCCATTCACCTCTGACTGTGTCCAGTGGGTTTGCATTTTCCACATGAGACTTTGTCTGGATAACGTCTTCATCTGCATTCTCCTCCATTTCTGAAATGGGGAACTCTTCCTTTCCATTTTTGAAGATTTTTGGAGTCATAGGTATTTTATTTCCCTTGGAGGTTTCAATATCCAGGTCCTAGAGGAATACAGAGGAATTATTAGTAGCTTTAAACTCTAGTGTCAGAATATTAGCATGAACAAACTGTTGTATAAATTCTAAACAGCAACAGCTTTAGTGTTTAACCAATAAAAATATTTTGAGCCTGAATTCTAATTAAAGATAAAATATTTGTACAATTGTATTCAAAGCAGGACATAAGTGGTAACAAGGATAGGGTGTTATACACAACAGAGATGACTCGTTTGCAGCTACCTCAAACACAGTACACGGAACAATTCTGCAATGGACAACTGTACATCCATGTTGCTTTCATGCCACATTTTAGCCGTTAAATTCACTTACAACTTCAAGAAACAAAGCCTGACCACTGCTCACACCAAAAAAGACTGTTTCAGCAAGCAGAGAATGAGTCACACAC